GTGAGAAATATAGATGCACCACTGTCATTTTTCATCATTGCCTTCTAATGCAACTAGCTCAAACCCCGTCGGACTTCTTGAATGATACGTAGATCCATACTTCACCGATGAGGTATAAATGTCAAAACCTAACGAGATCGTGTTATCGTATAAAACTCGAAATCGCGTTGGAACAAAATAAAAATTCACGAATTGAGCTGGGGGCCATATAAACCACTCGGCCGTGTACAACTTTTTGCCTTTTTCAACGAATTCGGAAGTTATGCTTGCGAATGTTTCCCGCTCCAGCACCCCGACCGTGACGAAGAAAACCAATATTATAATCGGAGAGAAAATCACTTGATCCACGAGGATTTTCTTGATAAGGATCCTCGATGACCTGTGAACAGAAGTTCACGTGAACGAGTGAGACCTCATTCTGATTAAGTACGAACCTCCCGGGTAAGACATTATCCAAATAATTGTACCAATGATGGCAACACCAGCCTACTGAAGCTCCGGCAGCCCCCATATGACCGGATTGTCTGACGTCCCAATGTCCACCAATGCCTTTCGAATAACGTTGCTGAATTGCGTCTCCAAAAGTTGAAAGTCCAACAGACAAAGCTACGTTTGTGACCATTAGGTGCTTCCCGAACAACACGTTCGTTGATTTTCGAACAATGCTCCCGAGACGTCGAAATTTGAGAACCAGACTCATCGCACTAAATGCTATCACAGGTGATTAATTTAAAATAAACTTCGGGGTGCCTACGAACACAAATACAACTTATACATCCAAGAAGACTTAATCGCTCAATTCAGTCAACCAAGTATTCGACGAAACATTTCAACGAGAATTCGCGAACTGAGAATGTGCAGACTTACTGCAATTTGAGGGCGTCAAATTGTTTCTCCACGGAGACAAAAGATTTCAGAACGCAGAGAACAACTGGAGAATCAGATCTTCACACTTAACTACTCAGCGATTTCGCGTACTGCTAAACATCTCACATTCCACTGCTGAAGGTGCACACACACTCCACTCCGCAATCCTGCTTTCTCTCAAGAAAACCTCCACTCCGAAATCCTGCTTTCTCTCAAGAAAACCATCCTCAGATGCAGGCAGAGCATTTTCGGCAATCTACAGCTTTGACAAGAGAGCGGCTCACTGCAGCTTGATTTCACTGCTGCTGACTCTTTATTTTATTGGCTCATAGATGTCACTAACCATCAAAATTTGCAATCAGCTATATATTGACGTCTGTCTGATTACAGTATTGACAAATTAGGGATCCGCCGCCGGGGGGTACACCGTATAGCATCTACTCCGAAGACATGTATGAGCGTACAGTAATACTGAATAACGTACATACAGTACAATTCACTCGCTCACGACTGCTATTAGATTTGTTGACGCGAAGTTTCTCTGTGCCGGCAGCTAGTATTAAACGTTTCGGAAGTCGAGTCCAATTTTTATCCGTGTAGAATGCGCGAAGCCTTTGAGTCGAAATTTTGTTTACATATAGTCAGTGATCATATATACGTTGAGGTTATAGCTTCCCATTGTTTTATGAACAGAACCTCGCGTGCTCTTGTTACAAATGACTAAATGAGCATGTAACTGCCTGTTAATCTCGAAAAAAAACACAGGGACAGCAAGTGCCGATTTTGCTCATGCATGAGAACCATATTACTGTAGTTAGTTCGTGCGTTCTTATCTGTACACATATGATGCACGGCAAGTATACATGACCGCGATGATGAATTGTAATGGGCTGGAGCCCGCGTCTATGACCGATTAAAAGCCACGGATTCGTTACAAAAACCGGATTTCTCTGGATGGATCAAGTTCGTTAATAAGATGATCAGATAACTCCATTCTTTTGAGCATGCTTTTTTTTCTTCTTGCCTTTCATCGTCCAGCCGCCCGGTATATACCCACAGCGCGGGTGTGGGTCATGGAATAAATTACATCTAACCTATTGCGAAATCGCAGCAGGCAGCCCAGCTTGCACATCATGTTGAT